GCTCAAATTTATTGTAAAGCAAAGGATCATTTGCTAAAGGCAGGACTGAAGATTGCAGATGAAAAAGTTCAATTACAATATCCTTATCAATATCTTGGGTACATTATATTGGGACAAACAATTAGGAGACAAAAATGTGAAATTCGCAAGGACAAATTAAGAACATTAAATGACTGGCAGAAAGTTTTAGGAGATATCAACTGGATTCGTCCCTCCTTGGGACTTACCATGGGGCAGCTCAAACCCCTTTTTGATATCCTAAAGGGGGAATCTGACCCCAATTCACCTAGAGACTTAACTCCTGAAGCTGCAGCTCTCCTGGATATGGTCCAAGACAAAATTAATTCTCAATTTGTGACCCAAATTGATTATGACCAACCGTGGCAATACTTAATCATAGCAACAGAGTTTTTGCCCACAGGACTTTTCTGGCAGAAGGGACCTCTTGAGTGGGTACACCTGCCGTCCTCCAGAAAAAAAGTTATTCTGCCATATGCTGATGCAATTGCCCAAGTCATCAATGCAGGCCGTAAAAGGGCCAGACAGCTTTTTGGGGCTGAACCTTTTGAGATTGTTGTTCCCCTAAAAGCGGAACAAATTGAGCAATTATTGCAGCAATCTACCGACTGGATGATTGCCCTTAGTGAATACCCTGGAAAAATTGCTCATCATTATCCAAGTTCTAAACTGTTAGAGTTTTTTAAAACCACTACATTAATTTGGCCCCAAAAACAGAGTGCTACGCCAATTACCTATGCCCTGACCATATTCACTGATGGCACCTCTAAAGGAACCTATGGATATGCAGTTAATAGACAGGCCCATACTTATGCATGCAATAATTCCTCTGCCCAGCAAGCTGAATTACTGGCTATGAAAAAGGTTTTTTCAACATATGCTGATCAAGAGATCAATGTATATACCGATAGCCAATATGTGGCTAAAGTGATGCAAAATTTAGAAACTGCTATTATTGGATCTCACACATCACCTGAAATCTTTGATATTTTTCTCCAATTGCAAAGATCAATACATCAAAGACTGCATAAATATTATGTAGGACACATACGAGCCCACTCTGGGCTTCCAGGTCCCATAAGTGAGGGTAACGCCTTTATCGATAACAGTGTTGCTATTTGTGCTACGTTACAACAAGCTATTGACAGCCATAACAAGTTTCATCAGAACAGCAATTGTTTGCGGCTGCAATACAATCTGACTCGGGAACAAGCCCGACAAATTGTCAAGCAATGCTCTATTTGTCAGGATTTTAATTTTTCCCCTCCATTAACCGGAGTTAACCCTCGTGGGCTTCGTCCTAACCACATCTGGCAAATGGATGTGACTCATGTACCAGAGTTCGGCTCCCTGAAATATGTACATGTTATCATTGATACATTTAGTGGGTTTCTTTTTGCCTCAGCCCCAACTGGAGAGGCTCAAAAACATGTCATCACTACCTGTCTTCAAGCCTTCGCCACACTGGGCCGGCCAAAAGTTATAAAAACAGATAACGGCCCAGCTTATACTGGGAAAGGTTTTCAACACTTTTGCAAACAGTTTAATATTTGCCACATAACTGGTATTCCTTATAACCCTCAGGGTCAGGGTATCATAGAGCGGGCCCATCGGACCCTTAAAACGCAAATATTAAAAGTAAAGAAGGGGGAGTTAGGGAGCCTTCATATATGCTCCCCCACTAATATTCTATCTTCTGCTCTTTTTACTCTCAATTTTTTGAATTTGGATAAAGATAATGTATCAGCTTTTGAAAGGCAGAGCCAAGATCGCATGCGAGCACAAGTGCTGGTCCGTTGGAAAGATCCACTAACGCTACAATGGCAAGGACCCGATCCAGTATTGGTATGGGCCCGAGGCAGTGTTTGTGTTTTTCCTGCAGATGCAGAGATTCCTAGATGGGTGCCAGCCCGCTTGGTCCGCCCGGTCGAAGAACAAGGCAACAAAGCAGCTAATCGCCAAAATGGCGCAGCTGATGATGGGCAATCCCCGCAGCCGTCGGCGGAACCAGAAGAGGAAAATGAGAAGGCAAAAGATCCAGAAGGAAGCCTCGCCGATGATTAAGCAAATGCTGGGGCTGGTTTTACAAGCTCAACAACAGGCGAAGCCTAACAATTTGAGGACTCTGCTTCTTATTATGCTGGCAATGTTACCTGCTGAGACACAAGGCGGGGTTTACTGGGCGTGTTTGCCGGATCCTCCTTTCTTGAGTCCTGTCACGTGGAATCAGCCTGCTGTTCATGTATATGTGAATGACACGAGATTGATGGGGGGGTCCGGGTAACAGATTCATTACTGAACAAACAGAGAACTTTACTTATTATGGTCCCCCGATATGCTTTGGGTATGTGAAGGAACAGAAGTACTGTTTAAGGACGGGACAGATACATCAGGGGACCGTAGATATAAAGGAATTAATTGTAACAAGTGTAGATGGCTCTCAGCTGCAACCGCCATTCCATCACGATACCACGTATGTCATAAGTGTGACCGGGCCAGGGAGTTGGGACCAGGTAACCAACGACTCTGCAATTCTTCGACCACATGGAATACCCTCTTGCGTCCAGGAATGGTCGCTACCTGGACCCATGGAGGATAGGCATCCACTATGGCTGTATTGTCATTTTGAGCACCCAGTAAGGCATAATCTGACTAATAGTAGTTACTTCATATATGACTGGGGACATTATCATCCTAATGAATCTCATTCTTATTTGGATGTTCCGTCTCCTGTCCCTGGAGGATGGGTACCCCCCATGTTGTCAGATGAACAGGGAAACGCACAACCTTATTTATGGAGATTAATGGCTGCCACTAGTTCTATTCAGTATAAACGTAAAACAACTAGTCAACCACCTATCCACCTTCAAGCCTGCGTGGTGCCACCATATTTATTAGTTATAGGAAATATTAGTATTAATGAGTTGAATCACACTGTATTTGAAGTAAATTGCACAAATTGTTCATTAACCAATTGTATTACTCATAAGCAACCTAAAACTGTTATAATGATTGTTAAACAACCTGCATTTGTCATGTTACCCGTTAATCTTACAGAGCCTTGGTATCATCAGTCTGGAGTACAAATTCTTAAAAAGGTGAATAATCAGTTAATAAGACCTAAAAGGATGATTGGCTTAGTAATTGCAGGAATCGTAGCGTTAGTTAGCATTATTGCCACAGCAGTTACAGCTGCTATTGCTTTAACTCAAGAAGTTCAAACTGCTCAGAATGTAGAGGCCCTATCAAAAAATGTTACTGCCGCCTTAGAAAGTCAGGAAAGAATTGACAAAAAACTAGAACAGAAATTAAATGCTATTAAGGCTACTGTCCTAAAAATGGGAGAGGAGTCGAAAGCTCTTAGAGTCCGAAATACCCTTAGATGTCACGCTGCCTTTTCGTATATCTGTGTAACTTCGCATAAATATAATGCTAACACCTGGGATTGGGAAAGAATTAAGTGACACTTATTAGAAGTATGGCAGCATAACAATCTATCATTGGATTTAAGTAAATTACATACGGAAATTACCAATATAGAGGACAGTGGGTCTCCAGTTCTCCTTATATCTGAAGTAGCCAATAATATCGTGCAGACACTCAAGGAATGGTTTTCACATTTATCACTGTCATCTGTGCTCAATTCTGTAATGGCCTTTGGCGCTACTCTGTTAATTCTAATTTGTCTCGCCCCTGTCCTAGCAAAAATCATAGGACACTTCTTTCTCCAGTTAAGAACAACAATGCATGGGTTATTCTTAAAAAGTAAAGAAGGGGGAGCTGTTGGGAGCCGGCAAGTAAACACAGCTGTGTGAAAGTTGCTGGCAAGGCACATGCCCTCAACTGGCCCCTGGACTTACTGATTGTGTTACCGTGCAAGGAGCGGACATTGAAAACAATAGTGTCCTTATGGGGCTCTTTTGAGCCCTCGGCCAGAGCATGGGACAAGAAAATGTTTTCCTTGAGAATTGGCAGAGTAAGCCATCCATAAAGAAGTTGTCCAGACAGATCAAGAGATACTGTTTTCAGTCACGGAGCGTACTCAAGTGACCGGGTGAACTGACTATAAATGTACTGCTGTACTGGCTAATAAACGCTGGTCGCTGATCAGTCCTCCCGACCCTGACTCTTCATTCCACGTCTCCTCATCTCACGGGGGCTGGTGTGGTGCGGGACGCTACAGAGCCCCGCGGAGAGACTCCAGGCCCTCCACCCTCCCAGTCCCCTGGCCCCCGCGAGACCGGCTGCCCACGTCCGCACAGCCCCAAGGCCGCGTGGCACCTCAGGTGATGCCGGGGCTCTGGGCCAGTCAGCTTCAAGACCAGCTCTTGCCCTGCGGGCCCACTAAGTAATGAAACCGCCTCAGAGAGTGTTCGAGTCTCGCTGGAGATGCTAAGCCACTTGCTATGTGGGACTCGGGGAAAACTCCAGAATCATCGTCCCCTCTTAATTCTACACACCATAACCTGCTTTCCTACCCCTCAGAAGGGCTTCCACCTCTGTATTTATATAGGTAGCTGTGTGTAGAGAGAATTAAAAAAGTAAAAAAACAAATCGGTCATATTATTTATACTGAAAGTGAGGAATAATAATGTGTGTGTGTGCAGAGAGAGAACCAACAGTAATGACTGCAAGGGAGGGAGGGAAAGAGAGCAAAGAAGGAAGGAAGGAAGGAAGGGAGGGAGGGGAAAGTCCTGTTTCGCGCTTCACATAGCTCTATAGAACCCACAGGTCAAGGTAGTGGATGCTTATAGACAATCTCAGTAGGCACAAACATTTTAGGTGTATCAGAGTTATTTTCCCTTCACGTTGGATGCATCAAAAGCAGTTTTGCCGCTTGGGAAACCGAGCAGCACGTAGTGCTATGTACCTTGTTGGGACCTTGTTTCCGCGTCACAGGCCGCTCTCATGGAATCCCATACACATCAACACGGAGAGGTCTGCACGGCACACCGTGTGTTTAAACACAAGACACCACATCCTTTCTGGTTTATAGCGCGTGCGTGCTGCGATTGCCTGTTTAATCAGCACTCACTGAATGTAACACACTGGGGCGAGCATGGTGGGGAGAGGGGAGAGGTTTGATGGTGGCCAAAGGAGAGGCAAGTGTGAGGGACAGGGCAGTGAGGGGCCCCGGGAGCAGACACTGTTGTCCCCACAGGCCCCGGGCTACTCTGGAGGGACACGCGGCGGTTCAGGCCGGGTCTCTGGCCGCTCACAAGACCATGGCGGGCATGGTCTTCTCCCTCACGGGGGAGGGAGGCATGGAATTCTCCCCCAGTAGCTTCTTCTCTGAGTCTTCCTCATCCTAAAACAGACAGGGGTAAAAATCAGCTCTTGGGGGAAAAAGGATGGGGCAGAGGCAACGCCACAGGACTTGAAATGAGGAAAAGGAGAGGGAGGAAGGGGCGAGGGACAGAGATGTAGGACACAGAGGAAGGGATGGTGGGAAAGCGGAAGTAGAGGAGGGCGGGGAGGGGCGGAGGCCCGCGGAGGATCCAGTCCCAGGGCCGGGCCCCCGGCCCCCGTCAGCCAAGGGCAGAGCCCAGCCCTGGGAAGAAGCCGAGGCAGGTTGGGCCTGAGCTCTGAGCAGCAGTGTCCCTGGCCCCGCGTCCGTCCCTGTCCCCAGGCCTCACCGACCGGCCCCACTCGGCCCCAGTGCCTCCCGCACAGCTCACCGTGGGCTGGGAGCTCTGGCTGCACGCGCTTCGCAGCCCCAGGCCCAGGGAAGCCAGGGACACGATGAGGTGCAGGGCACAGATGGCCAGGAGCAGAATGCGGATTCCTAGGAACAAGTTCTGGAAACAAAGGGAGAAAAAGGGGAACAGTCAGGAGTCCACCCCTCTGACTCTGCTCTGACTACCACATTATATCCCTCTTCTCCCCACTCCAAGAACCGGACTCTACCCAGCTAACTTCTTCCCACCAAAGCAGAGCCCACTGTTGGCTTGTCTGCATTGTGACTGTAGCACCCGCTATGAAGAGGTGGGGTCTGTTTCTCCACCCCTGAGACCTGGAAGGACCTGCGAGCACTCTGACCAATAAAATACCAGGGACATGACACGAGGCCAGTTGCAGGGTAGCCCTTAGCTGGCCTGGCAGCGTTCCAATCCCCCGGAGGGCTCACAGTGCGATGCTCCAAGTCCACACCTCGTCGGCACGCCGTGAGAAGCCCAAGCCACGTGGAGAAGCCATCGTGGGCTGTCTGCTTGACAGTCCAAACTCAGCACCCAGCCAAGAGCCATCGGCTGCCAGCCGTGGGAGGGCGCCAGCGGAGATGCCCGGCCCAGGCCAGGCGTGAGATGGCTTCACCCCGCCGCTGACGTCTGACTGTGACTTCACAAGCAAATCCAAGTGAGGACTCCCGTCTGAGCCCACTCAACCCACACACTGTGAGAAATGCTAATAACCTACAGGTTTAAGCCACTACATTTGATAGAGGTGTGTTACACAGCAACGGATAACTAGGACACCCACCGACCAGAAAAGACACATGGGATGGGAGAACTATGATATCCACTCTTAAATGTCTCCTCTTTGCCCCTCATCTCCTTTGATTCGGAGAAGCTTCATACCATGACGGTCTGAGAAATGTCTTCGGCTTCAGTTAAAACCTCCTGAACCAAAGACCTAGGATGAGGTCCAAGCTCAAAAAGCCTATATCTCTGCCCGCCAGTGCTCAGTTCCTTAGGAACAAACAGCTGTGGCGAGTCCCTGGAAGATGGGACCCCCCCCCCGCCGTACTCACATGCAGCATTTCAATGAAGTTTACACACTCATCTTTCTGCCATTCTGAGGCTCTGTAATTGTTTCGCCAACCCCATCCATAGTCAGTGGCTGCGGTGGGAGCGTCCGGGAAGTCACATATGGAGTTCGAGAAGCTGTAATTTTCCCAGGTTATGCTATTCGCACAGAGGACTATAGCAGCCACGGCCGTGGCAATGCCAGCCAGGGTGAACAGACTGGACACCCAGCCCTAGAAGAGACAGGTTCCAGACGCAGACCCTCAGACTCTCTCTGTGGACGGTAGAGCCATGGGGTCCCAGCCTCCAACCACTTCCTCTTCCCCAGCTTTCTGGCCCAGGAAACCATCCCCATGCCTCCAGGAAAGATCTCGGATATGGGGACCCAAAGGGGAAAAGAGAGAAAATGGAGCTGAACACCTGAGACCTAGGAGGGGGCAGGGAACAAGGTGGGGACCACAGATGCCCAACTCACTGAAAGGACGCTCCGGCGCTTCTCGTGGACAAGGGTCCCAGCTCCTGCTGCGATCGCCTGGGAGGAGAAGACCCAGCAAAGGCCTCCCGGTTACCCCCCCTGAAATGATCCCCGACACCGACCTTCCCCCAGCAGTTCCCACAACAGCCAGTGCGCAGCATGAGCCAAGGGACAGGCAAGGAAACCCAGGGCCCCTAGCGCGGGCACCGGGCTCCACAACGGCCCCGCCCTTCCCACCCTCGCCTTAAGGAGGGACATGTGCAGCAGAAGGGTGTTGCTCCCCGCCTCGGTCAGCTTTCTCTTGGCAAAGGGCACGTGGGCTCTGGGGTGTTGTTCTCTTCTCCAAATCCCCGATCCAGAAAGACCCAGAGGAACTCTCTCCTGGCCTATAACCACATGCCCCGCGTTCCTTACTCACCACAGACCCTGCCCAGAAGGCACAGCCCGAGCCTCTCAGCTCGGTCCAGGGTCCGAAGTACAGAAGCACTCCAAAGACACAGCTCACTGCTCCCAGCAAAATCTGGGTCACCTGCCAAACAGGGTCAAAAGTCAGCGCCATTGCACAGGCCCACACACCCGGGGCCAGCCGCCCAGCTCCCACGTGAGGCCTTCCTCTCCTTTTCCTCTGTTTCGACCTCTCTGCAGCTATGACACTGGAACATTCTGTTCCCTTAACACCCATGAAGCAGCATGGCCTCGTCCTCCTCCATCCCTCAGACATGCCAGGCTTTTGGCCTTCATTACGTTTCCCTAAACACCGCACCTGGCCATCCCGCCTGACGGTTCTCCCTTCGGACCCACCGCCATCCTGGGAGAACCATCATCCTGTCGTAGGTGGGCTGCAAAGACCCCCTTCAAGAAAGGAGTATGGCCCGCTCACAGCCTCCAGGGGCCAGCTCCTTCAGGTCCCCTCATCTTTCACCAAAGGCACAATCTTTGGGGATGGCCACCTGGCCAGGGACGAAGCAAGGCGGCGGCACAGGGCCGCGCCCACATCACAGGCGGGAACTCCGCAGGGGGCAGCCTTTGCTCCTTTGCTCCCCAGCTCCCCGCTGGGCTGGCTGAGGCCTCGTCAGGCCTGCATCATGGTTTGACGTCCCTCCCTGCCCCATCCTGCTCCATCTCTTTTCGTTTCATAGGTGGTTAGACCCCAACAAACCTTGGGCACCCCCGACTCCGACACATGTCTGCTTCCCAGCGGCCACCGTGTCTTGCACAGCACCGCCTGCGTGCCCTGCCCACGCCTCGGAGTCGGCACATACAAATACCACCTCCAGCCCCATCCCGCACTCCCAAGGCGCACCTCTCCTGACGGCCAGGGCTCCAGCCTCCCAGCCACCCCCACTCCGAGCCTCGAGACTCAGCGCGTTCTCCGACCCCTCCCCTCCCGTGTACCCCAAGCCCATTCACTCCCAACTCGCAGGGACCCCATCCACAAAAGATTTGCACTCCCCTCTTTTCTTGTCATTTCTGCCATGACCGCGCAGGTGCAGATCTTGCCCACTTCTTACCGGGACAGCTCCGGGCCATGGGGCAGCCTAGGGCCCAGGTTCCCGCTCGGAATCCGCCCACAGCGCCCCCCTGTGGGAGCTGACTCACGGTGGCCCCGCACCTTGTCCCACAGGCCCTCAGCCCCGCGGCCCTGGTCTGCCCGCTCAGTGAGACCAGCCGAGAGCCCCATCCCCTTGGCTCTGCTGGAACTCGGCCTGTGCCGCCGGCTGCTTTGCTGCCACCTTCCCTTTGCCTGCATTTCCCCATCTGTCCAAACCGGGCTCTTCTCTGTTCAAGGTCTAGGTCAGAGGCCAACTCCTGCAGGGTGCCGTCCTGTCCCCGCAAGGACGTCGCCTGATCTACCTTTAATTCTAGGCATTTCTGTAGTTGCCTGATCCCCTCTGGTAGAGTTTATAGCCCAGGGATTCTCTCTGGAGTTTTCCCAAGGCGCCTATGTACGTTGCTTTATTTGTCGGTCCACGGTCCACAGGGGTTCAATTAAAATGAATTAACAGTTTCCTGGGATCTTCCGCCAACCCATCCACCTCTGGGTGGGACTGCCTCCCAAACCCCCCCCCCCCCCCGGCACCAAAGAAGACTTCCATCATTCCTTTCCATCCACATCTCCATGGGGAAACTTCCAAAACCTTCTTTTCCCAAACAAGAGGGGATGTAAATAGTGAGTTCTCATGGGACTCAGTCCACTCTCCTTTCTGCGCCCTACTGAAGAAGGAGAGCCGCCGCCTGCGGTCCGCCCGCGCAGCCTTCCCGCCCGCTCTTACCCCTCCTGCCAGCAGCCCTGAGCGGATCCTAGGCTTGGCGGAGCCCGGGTCCCGCTTGCCAGCGAAGAACTCCTTCAGGGAGCCCCCCGCCTTCAGCAGTTGCAGCAGAGCCGATTCCTGGTGGATGTGGATGCTGATGTGGGTGGGCTGGGACTGGGTGGAGGCCACTTCAACCCCGTTCACGGTCACCATGTTTTGGGTCATCCTGCCTGCGGGGGAGAAGACAGGCAGAAGGGAAGTCTGGGAACTGGGCGGCAGGGGGGTGGGGCGGTAACAAGGAACACAGTGCAGGAAGGAAAGGCCAGAACACCATCTCTTTGTTAAGGCCCCAGGGGTCTTCCCAGCGCAGCGTCGGTGTCACCATGACCTTGACCTGGGCTGCGACCTCTCGAGGTCTCCACCGCACGTGTGCCTGGGACCCTCCCCTAAACGGTCTAAGACAGTTTGTCTGGGGCTTCGGCTGGACAAAGAAATCCATCTGTGTTATTTACCTCAGTGACTTAGGGCCGACCGCTGACCCCTGAACAACCTGGGTTTGAACGGCGCGGGTCCACGTACACGTGGATTTTTTTCAGTAAATACTGTACATGTATTTTCTTTTCCTTATGATTTTCTTAGTAACAGTTCTGTTTCTCTAGTTAACTTTATTGTAAGAATACAGCAAATAGTCCCTGTCACATACAAGTACAAAATATTTGTCAGTCAAGTATGTTTGTTTTCGCTAAGGCTTTCAGTCAACAGTCAGCTCTAAATTAAGTTTTGGGAAGTCAAAAATTACACGTGGATTTTCAACTGTGCTGTGAGTGGGCGCTCCTAACCCCTACATTGTTCAAGATTCAACTGTGCGTTTACACATAATAGTTTATGTGGCTAAAAGTTCCAAAAGACTTAGGAGGGTATACCTTTGAGGCCTCCTCTCCCTCCCTTCTCTCCTCACCCCCTGGTTTCCTTCCAGACGGAAGCTGATATTGTTATTTTCCTGTAGTGTCACTTTTTGCATATAGAAGCATGTGAAATATTCTTTTCCCTCCCTTTTCCCACAAATGGCAGAACGCTGCTCACACTCTTCTGCACAATGATGTGTTCACAGAACCATGTTTTTAAAATAATCCTCCATCAGCCCTGGCCAGCATGTCCCAGTGGGTTGGAGCATCATCCCATAAACCAAAAGGTCACAGGTTCAATTCCTGGTCAGGGCACACGCCTGGGGTGCAGGTTTGGTCTTCAGTCAGAGTACGTGCAAGAGGCAACCAGCTGTTTCTTTCACATCAATGTTTTTCTCCCTCTCTTTCTTCTTCCCTTCCCTGCTCTCTAAAATCAATAAACATGTCCTCAGGTGATGATAAAATAAAATAAGAACAGAAAAGAAAAGAAAATATCCTCCATTGGTCCATAAAATGCTTCCTCACTTGTTTGTATAGCTTCGTGGTATTCCATTGTCTGAATGCATCATACTTTTTTTAAGCTGTCCCCTATAGGTAGATGTTTATGTTTTCTTACAAAGAGCGTGGAATTGGCAGGCCAATGGGAACATGCGTTTGTAATTTTAATCTACTATATTGCCCTCTGTGCCATCCCTATGCAGGAAGAAGGTCGAAGAGTGTTTGCTGCCCTCCCTACGGCCAGCAAGTGTCAGCAAATTTTTGAATCTTTTTCAAATGTCTTTCAGAAAAATTACATTGCACTGTACATTTTAATCAGTTTTATGCAGTAAAACGCTCTCTTTTAAATGTATATCTCAACAAGTCTTGACAAATTTGTACATTTGTGCACCCACAACAATCAAGATACAGAATATTTCTATGTTGCAAAGTTTCCTGAGGTCCCCTCTCCAGTAAACCTCCGACCCTGGCCCCAGGCAACCTCTGAGCGGCTCCCTGGGACCATTCCAGTACAGTTTCAATCTGTGGTTCTCCTATGATAGTTGAGGTTGATCATCTCTTCATATGTTTAAGCGCCATGTTCCTTTCTTTGTCTTTTCGATTTCGGAGAGAGACACTGATATAAGAGAAACACCGATAGTGGCCTCCCGCACACACCCTGACTCTCGAACCGAACTCCCAGCCTAGGCACATGGCCCAACCTGGAACTGAACTCACAGCCCTTTGGTTTACGGGATGATGCTCCAACCAATGAGTCACGCCAGCCAGCCGGGGATAAGAGCTGTTTTCTTTCTTCCGTTGTGAGCGCTCCATTCATACCCTGTGTCCTCCTCGGTTTACTTTGTTCTGGTATTTAGGGGCGTCTTTTGTGTGTTCAAAAACAATTGCCACCTGTGGCAGGAGTTCCAAATATTTCTACAATCTGCAATTTGCTTTTGGACCTTGCTTGTATTTTTATGCAATCAAATTTTTCCATTTTTTTAATGGGTTTTAACATCATACTTAAAAAGAACTTTCCCATTTCGAGATGATAAAATAATTCTACTGTGTGTTTTTTTTTTTTTCAGAACCACCTGACATCTAGCTGAACAGAAGTCCTATAACTAAGAATATGCAGGAGAAGCCACATTGAGACTGGAAGGAGGGGCGGAGTCGCAGAACAGGGGGTCTCACGCCCACGTGTGGTGGTTTAAAATCAGGAGGGGTACCTCGGCTGTGGACATTCCCCCTAAGGAGTGAGTGGCTCCAGCCCCACAGCAGGTCTCCCAGCTCAGGGTTCCAGAGCCAGGAAAAGAAGTCCTCATAATCCCTGGCTGTAAAAACCAGTGGGGATTGAAGCTGAGGGAGACCGAAGCTTCTAGGGTCCCAAGCAGCTCCTCTTAATGGATCCATGTACGGACTTACTCGAACTCACTCACTCTGAGCTGCAGTGCTGAGACAGCTGCTCAGACAATGAGGAACATACAGGAAGGAACTGAACTGTCTGGCTTCAGGACGAGAATCAAAAGAGCAGCTTTCTCCCAGAGAGAAGTGCTAGCAGAAGCCATTGTTCCTTTTCTGAGACCCTGCCCCCACAGAGGCAGCAGGTGGGTACCGTGTCTGAGTCTCCATAAACCTGGCTCACACTGTTCGCCCACCCCGCTGATCTCTTGAGACCCCACCCTAGTCAACTTGAACGGCCTAGGCATGCCCTGTATCTCTTACTAAGTAACCCCAGGCCCGGCACTAGTGGCAGCCAGCCTTGGTCTGCAGCTTAGCCTCTCCCAGGCACCTCGGATTCCAGAAAAAGTAGCAATCATCTGAAGATCACTTTGTCGCTCACACCAGGTAGCCCTGGGCAGGGCACAGGCAGCCTCTGACTTTGCCTTGCATCAGCACCCCTCCCAAGAGGTCCCATACCCAGCAAACCGGGTGGCCAGCTTCAGGCCACACCAGAGCACCACACAGCCATCTTCACAAGTGACACACCGAAAGGGCAGACCTGGCAGACACCAGAGCCTCACTGAAGCAAATCCTGCCCTGCGGGATCAGTTCCTGCACAACAGCTCCTCCGTGGCAATCACAGCCAGTCTTCCCAGGCAGTCGGCCTGAGGGTCCCTCCCTCCCACTGACAGGCCAACAGCAATCAAGGCCCAAATACAAGAGGGCAAGCACACAACCCGCATAAGCGACACTCCTGGAGCACCCAGCTTACGTGACAGGGGAGACTGGCCCACTGGGCCCCCCAGGACACCTACTCCATAAGGCCACTCTACCAAAACGGAAGATGTAGCAGCTCCCTAATACACAGAAACAAACACAAGGAGGTAGCCAAAATGAGGAGACAAAGAAACATGTCCCAAATGAAAAGCAGAACAAAACTCCAGAAAAAGAACTAAACAAAATGGAACAAGCAACCTACCAGATACAGAGTTCAAAACACGGGTTGTAAGGATGCTCAATGAATTTAGTGAGAACTTTAACAAAGGAATAATAAACATAAAAAAGGAGATAGAAAACATAAAAAAAGAATCAGTCAGAAATGAAGAATACAGTAACTGTAATGAAGAATACGTTAGTGGGGGTCGACCATGGATGAGATGAGGCAAAGGATCAAATCAGTAATTTGTAAGATGAGCTAGCAGAAAACACCCAATCAGGACAACAAAAAGAATGTTTAAAAATGAAGATAATTTAAGGGACCTGTGGACAACATGGAGCATAACAACATTCCCATCAGGGGGGTACTAAAAGGAGAAAAGAGAGAACAAGTGATTGAGAACACATTTGAAGAAACAATGACAGAAAACTTCCCTAACTTGGTGAAGGAAATAGGCATACAAATCCAAGAAGTGCAGAGAGTCCCAAACAAGAGGACGCCAAAGAGGCCCACAGCCACACCGCAACATCATTCAATTGCCAAAAGTTGAAGACAAAGAGAGAATCTTAAAAGCAGAGAAAGAAAAGCAGTTAGTTACCTACAACGTAGCTCCTGTAAGACTGTCGGCTGATTCCTCAATAGAAACTTTGCAGGCCAGAAGGGACTGTCACAAAAAATTCAAAGTGACAAAAAACAAGGAACTGCAACCAAGATTACCTAGTAAGGCCATCATTTAGAATCAGAGAGATAAAGCGCTTCCCTGACAAGAAAAAGCTAAATGAGCTCATTACCACCAAACTAGTATTACAAGAAATCTTAGTCCTGGCTGGTGTGGCTCAGTGGATCGAGTGCTGGCCTGTGAACTGAAAGGTCCCCTGTTTGATTCCCAGTCAGGGCACATGACTGGATTGCAAGCCAGGTCCCCCGTTGAAGACGTGCAAGATCAATTTTTCTCTCCCTCTCTTTCTCCCTCCCTTCCCCTCTTTCTAAAAAATAAATGTTAGACTGGCTCCTTGAAGGGGTAGGAGGCAGACGCAGGCATGGCCCTTTACTCTTCAGGTTTTCCCCTTACGCCTTCGAAACGTTGGGACCATCCCAGTCTGTTCTCGGGAACAAATGTGAATCCCTATCGCGTTTCTTAAAGCTCAACATTGGAGTTGCCATGAAAATAATTGAGCAAAATGAAGCCCTGGAAATCCGGTTAAGACTCCAGCGCAGAGGCCGTGGGGAGCGGCCGGTAAAAGGGCTTTATTAAGACTGGCACTTTTCCGGTGCTCACCGGGACATGCCCGGCCAGGAGAGAGAAAGGAGGGCCCTCGCAGAAGTTCTGTGACGATTCGTTTAAAATCTCTTGGCACACGTACCCTCCCTTGCCAAAGCACGCAAGTGTTGCGAAAGCCACACGCAAATTAGACCTTGAAATCCATCTACAGGCATCTGACAGGACATTTTATTGACGTTAGGATACGGTGGGGAAGAGGAGATAGTATCTCCACAGTGATGGTTATTGTGCTTGGCAGTCTCACCACACTCCCTGTTTTGTTTGTGGAACTGGAGCTGCTGGTGGTGGGACAGAAAGGATATCCCAAAACTTGGAATTGGAAGTCGTGTTTTTCAAGGCCTTTGTGTTGCTAATACCCCTCGACCTTCAAGGACTGGGAAGGATCCAGGCTACAGTATGTAACCATATTGCGTCCTGCTTGGTGGCCGTATCCCACTAATGACCAGGTTCCGTTTCTGGGCCTGCATCTGAGTCGCACGTGATAACCCAAGGCCAGGATGCAGGTCCTGTGTCTTAGGGCTTCCCACCTCCCCATGGCCCCTTGGCCCTGGCCTGGTGCCCCGCCAAGGTTAAGTGGCAGGCATTGAGCAGGGGATGCGTTGCTGTGGTGCCACAGATGGGCACCACGAAGCAAAGCCACCACCTCACCAGCCCTGTGCTCTCACAGCTGCTGGTGCCGAGTCCACCATAAAGGTGCCTATAAGCAGAATGACTGCCACTGTTAGTGCCTCCTCTGCACCTGATACCATCAAAGGATTTCTTACAGCACCATCTTGAATCCTGTAGGTCTGGCGACAGCCCCCTGCAACCCTCCCCTGGCTTCAGGGTAGCTACCCTGTGGATCCTGTGGCTCCGTGTTATGTGATCAGGCAGCGGCCCTACCAGTGCTACCAAGAATGCCACAAGTGGCAGTGATAGGCCAGCCCGTCGTCTGGAGCCCTGTGACTTGGACAGAGCAGAACCATGAAGGTGTATGGGTACCGCCCAGGGGGCTGGCTTGCTTGCATGAGCCCCTGTCGCTACTTCCAGGAAAATCAATGAAAAGATAGCCAAGGAGAAAAGCCAGGCAGCAGCCAGTAAGGTCCAGCTGTGGCCTGAAAAGAGGCAGGGTCCAGAAGCCAGGCCTATGGACAGGTCCCTGCAGGGTAGGCTAACAATGAGTATAGAAGCAGGAGAGGTCACAGTGCTGGGGGCCACCACAGGCTTCTATAGATGCCACAGAAGGGCAATGTGGCAGGCTCAGCAGCAGCAGGGCTGTGGTCAGGGGCAGCAGAAGCCCTGAGCCGTGCATCCAGCACAGCCCTGCCGCAGCCCCTGCCTAGGAGGCCCTCCAGCAGCATGACGGCCCCAGTCCCCAGCTTGGCAATTCCACCATTTCTGCAGGGCCTCGCGCCCAGCTCCCCGGGTCCCTCTCCAAGGCCAACAACGTTCACATGGCCCACGCCTTGTTGTCCCCTTAGGAAACAGCCAACATCGGTCACTGGCTAGCTTTCTCCAGGAGCTCCCTCTGCTCAATGCCAACCTTAACTCCAGCCAAGGCCGAGGGGTACTAACTAGCAGGGCCTAGACGATGAGCTTCTTGCAAGACTGGCCCCACAGGCTTGGAGGTGGGGATGGATCAACAGGACTGCCACCTCCCACCACTGCCTGCCCTTTCCGGCATATCTGAACACCTGCTTCACAGGTGGTCCCCTTACTCCCCTTGTCCCTCCAGCTGGGGACGCCCCCCGCACCTCCAGGAATTGGAGAGAGGAAGGGGCAGTGCTAACCGTGAAGAGGCAAGGAGGCTTCTCGCAAGATCTGCCCTTGCTCTATGCTGTGTGTGTACAAGGTCACAAAGGCACCGAGGCCAGGCCAGGACGAGGCCGCAGACCACAACTGAAAGGAAAAAATGGCCTGCCCCTCTCCCTCCCACAGGAAGTCAGCCAAGATTAGCTTTGATGCTTTCCGCCTGTCCTTTTGGAGCCGTGTCTCCTTCCCCGTTGATCTTTCCTGTGTTCTCCCTTGAGGGATCCAGATGGTACTCGAAGTAGCACAGACAGACCTGAGAACGGGAAAGGAGGAAGAAGATCCCTCCGTAGTGCCTCCTGTTCGCCAAGTCGCCCCTGACCTGTCTGCCAGCTTCTGGAGCTCCATGGGTACTCCTCCGCCCCTTGAGTACGAGGTACTGACAGTGATGCAAACCACAGCCACCTCCACGAGACCCAGGACCAGTGGGATCAAAGGGCAGCGGGCAGGCCCCAGAGATCATGACCCACAAGGCCTGAGACGAGGACCTACCGTCTCTCCTCGGACCAGACTGTTTTCAGGGTCTGTGACACAGACACACAGACACACATCAAATGATGGGAAAGGGAGGTGGCCACGGCCCCCCGGTGCATCAGTCACTAAGTCTGCTTATTTATCATTTATTTTTAAAATATATTTAAACAGCAGCAATCACTTCCAAAATGCAAAAAAAAAAAATTACAATTTTAGAATAAAATTATAACATTTAAAAAAAATAAATAAATTTTAAAAAACCTTTAGAAAAAGAACTCTTAAAGGAACTTCAAGAAGGAAAAAAAGGTTAAAAAGGTGAATAAAAAATGGCAATAACTACAAACCTATCAGTAATTACTTTAAATGTAAATGGATTAAATGCTCTAATCAAAAGACATATGGGACTTAATGGATAAGAAAACAAGACCCATACATAAGCTGCCTACAAGGGACCCACTTCAAATTGAAAGACACACACAGACTAAAAGTAAAGGAATGGAAAAAGATATTTCATGCAATGGAAACCAAAAAAAGCTGGAGAAGCAGTATTTATATCAGACAAAATAGACTTTATAACAAAGGTTATAACAAGGGACAAAGAAAGACCCAGCAATTCCACTTCTGGGCATTTACCCAAAGAAACCCAAAACACTAATTTGAAAAGACACGGGCATTCCTATGTTTGTTGCTGCATTATTCACAATGGCCAAGGTAAGGAACCAACCTAAGCGTCCATGGATAGCCGAATGGATAAAGAAGAGATGCCACATATTTACAATGGAATACTACCCAGCCATAAAAAGAGAATGAAATTTTGTCATCTGCAACAACATGGATGAACCTAGAGGGTACTGTCCTAAGTGAAATAAGTCAGAGAAAGACAAATGCCATCGTAGGTCATGTATATGTCGAATCTATAAAAACAAACAAAACCGAAACAAACCCATAGATACAGAGAACATCTTCACGGTTGCCAGATGGGAAGTGGGTAAAGGGAATGAGTGAAAAAGTGGAAGGAACTAGGATATGCACGTTGCTACCTATATAAACAGTCACGGGGACGTAACGCACAGCACAGAGAACACAGTCAACAATACTGTTATAACTACGTATGGCGTCAGATGGGGCACTAGGCCTATCGGGGTGATCACTTCGTAAGTTACATAAATGTCTAATCACTATGTTGCAAACCTGAAACTAATATAATATTATATGTCCACTGTAGTTTAAAAATGAAAAATTACTTTCAAAAACTAAACTAAAGTGAAATGCTCCGTGGACTAAAAATGGAATTGCCGTAGAAATTCAGGTCTGTTTCAGTCTTTCCGTTCTGCCCATTGGTGGGTCTGACTGGGCACGCACCATGACCACGTTTTTAACTGCGCCTTTAGAGTTTAGTATTCAGTTGAGCTATTTCATGCCACCCTCGTGTTTTGTTTTGGTTTTTTCACAGCCACTTTTGCTAGATTACTTCTCCGTGTACACGTTAGAATCAACGTGCCCCATTCCTAAAGAAACCCTCTGTGGGTAGTGCCAGCGGACACCCTCCTTCAGTGTCCCTGTTTCGATCATAATATTATCCGCAACAGTTCTAATGACAGCGCCCCTGAAGTCTTCCCGTCTGTATTCTGTGTGCTTTCGCGGGCAGGTCCCCTCCCACCCTGCCTGGCCTCCTTCAAAGGACAAAGCACAGGTAGCTGCCAATTCTGCAGATGCACAAGGAGGTTCTGACTTTTTCCGTCACGCCCAAGAAAGTCCAGCCCGGGTTCCAACCACATCTTCCCAGGGGACCCGAGCAACGGCATCGTGTCACAGCCCTGAATGCGCCCTGAACTCCGACTTCCTCTGAGCCCCCTGGGTACCCCACCCCGCTGCAACCCCCAGATCAGCCTTGCCCCCTGCTCTTCCTTGGAACCTGGCCAGCACCTTGAAGATCCCCCACCCACACCACCGCGATTCCAGGCTGTGGGCGCTTCCCTGCGTCCTGGGTCCTCCCAGCGCCCCTGGAGCTGGGGAGAGGACGGGGATCCCGCCACACCTTGGGCCCTCCACCTTGGGCTTCCCTCTGGAAGGATCTCTCACCACCAAACCTTCTGAGCTTCAGCCACCCCACGCCCCACCCAGAATAAAGGCAAAAAGGCCTGAGGCCCTGGCGCAGGAGAGAAAGAGGCAGCGCCAGGCCACCATGCCAAGCACAGGCCCTCCTTCCCCAGCCTTTTTTCTAGGGTTACATCCTCTGGGCCCAGACAGTCCGACGGGAACCAGGAGCATGGGGGAGAGGGGGTGGGAAAATGGCATCCTGCCGGACAGGATGGCGGCTTCAGGGACTGGTCCCGGGGACTCACGGAGAGACGGAGATCCCGCAGCGACGGGCCGCCTGGGCTGTGAGGTCCCCACTCACCTGCTGTCCCCTGGAAGTTGGCAGGCTCCAGAGCAGGACTGAGAGAGGCTGGCCAGGGGGCAAGGACCTGTGCAGCGGGAGGGAGAAGAGCGGAATGAAGGGGGGAGGGGGAGGGCCTGACCTTCCGTGTTACAACTTCCCAGAAAACAGCAGGGGCAGAGGGGCCCTTCTGGGGGGTTCTGTCTTGAGCAGATAACGGGCCTGCCTGGAGAAGGCAAAGCGCGCACACACACGTGCACACACACACACACGCACGCACACACACACACTCGCACACCCCTACCTACTCAGACAGCACACACGGGGTGAACACACAGCGCAGGCAAAGCCCGGTTCAGAAAGCCCTTGCGGGGGGCGGGGCGCGGGGCGCGGGGCGCGGTGCGGAGAGGACAGCTTCATGGGCTTTCCCAGGACCACTAGTCTCCGCGGTCCCCCAGGTCGCCCCCCGCCCCCCCCCCGCCTCGCTCGCTCCTCCTGGTGTTTCCCTAGCAGCTGGAAAACCCCAGAGGGGCCCCCTTGGCCCCAGCTGGATGCTGGGAAACACTCGCTAAAACCAAAACGCCGCTCTTCCTGCCGCCCTATCAGCCTCCTGCCCCTCTCCCCCTCTGCCTGCTCTCAGTTCCTCCTGGCCTCCCTGCTCCACTCGCCTCCGCCCCCTACCCCCGACCCCCGGGAGTGCAGGTGAGGTGCGCCCAGCCCCCACCCTTCCCCAGGGACCTGCTCGCAGGACCCCATCCCCAGGGGCGCCAGGTCCTGCCCCCTCACCTCGCCCCTCGGAGCTTGCTGCAAGGGAGGGAGGGGCCAACCACTACTCAGAGGCTGTGACTCCAGGAAGGTGGCAAGGGTGGGTGCCAGGAGTGTCTGCACTGGATGCCAGGTCAGCCTGGCCTCTTACCTTCACCTTCACCTACAATCCAGTCCTTCGTGGGGGCGGGGGAGCCTCACCAGGCCGAGCGGCGGGCCGGCCGTTGGTGGAGGGGGAGGTGTTGAGGGGCGGAGGGGTGTCCCGGGGCCCAGCTGTAGGAATGGCAGCACAACAGGCACGGGGGCCTGGGGTTCTGTCCTTGTCCTTCTGTCTGGTGGTCTGAGGGCCCTGGAGAAAAGGCTGAGAGAGCTGGGGGCAGAGGGTGGACAGGTGAGGGTCCAGACCCCAAGGCCCTGGGGGGAAGCAGGGGGACAGAGCAGACACCAGGTGAAGGGGGAGGTTCCGGGGGCTCGGCAGTCTGGCCGCCCTGACGCCTCACCCTGCCATGGGACGCTTGAAATCTGTGAAAACCTGCCAGCTTTTTCTCCAGGCGGATGTCCACTAGCATGGGGACCGTAGCTGGCGATGAAGGGGCCCGTGGGGTCCCCCAGCCCACCCACATCGACGTGCACATCCACCAGGAGCCCGCGCTGAACCTGAGCTGCCTGCTGCGGCCTTCTGCCCTCCACGCCCCCCCTCAGACCGCGGGCAGCAGGCGGCTGCTGGTGGCCTCTGCGGTGAGTTGGGCTGCCCAGGGCCCCTGGGTCAGGAAAGGGCGGGGGGACCTTCTCTTGTTGCGGCGTTCACTCTTGGCCAGCCTCCATCTGCAGAAGACACAGCGCCAGTCTTGCCCGATGCCTGGAAACCAGGGTCCCCTGAGCTCCATGTATGGCCTCAATAAAAAGCTGTCGGTGGGCACACTTTGGGCTACAGACGCGTGACCACCGCCAGCCCCAGGCGGTGGAAGCCCAAGTCCAGCCTCCCCCCACCTGATGTGGAAACCTGGCTGGCTCCCTCCGCTCTCCTCTCCTCCCCCTCCCCCCACGTCTCTCTGTCTCTCTGTCTCTCTTTATGGGGTTTGGACAGTCAATGCCTGGAGGGGCAGGTCCTTAAAGCTTCCCTGAGAGTTGGGGACCAGGCCCTCGGGCTCCGTGTCTTTCAGGTGCTGCAGATCGTGCTGGGGCTGCTGAGCGGGGCCTTGGGAGGACTGGGCTGCCTCTCATTGTACCAGCCCTGGCCCTTCCTGGTCATCTCCCAGGCTGGTATCTGGGCAGGGGCTGTGGTAAGTGGGGCTGGAGGAGGGTGGAGGGGCTGATGGATGTGTCCGAAGGGGCTGCCTGTCACCGTCCCGTCCCTGGGGTCCAGTAGAAGGTTCACAGCCCATAAGGTGCTCCGTTCCCAAGGCTGATCCCACTTCCACAGACAGAAGAGAGGATATAGCCGAGGGCCATGGCGCTGTGCTCAGCTCCCCCAGCTCCCTTCCCAGGGCGCCCCCACCAGGCCGGCTGCTGCTCCCCACTTTCAGCAAATGTTAACTAAGGATCCAGAGCCTGGCTCATCCCCAGACATTTGCACAAGGGCGGGGAGGGCGGACGCCACAAGGAGGGGGCGCGTCCTGGGTGGTTTGCACTGCCTGCGCCAGGTCCTGCCCAGCGGCGGCCCTGCAGTGGGGGACGGGAGGGGTGCGCTGCATGCTGTCCGCAGGAGCAGCTTGGTGGCAGGTCGTGGCAGGCCTGAGGCCCTTCAATAAAGTCACTCACATGCGGAGAGTTAACAGCAAGACATATTGACTGAAAGAAAGGCCAGAGTCATCGTCTGTCCGCCCGGATGTCGGGCTCTGAAAGCCCAGGAGCAGAGCCAGGCTGGGGCAGATGCTCCCCTGAGGCAGCCCGGAGGCTCCTGCTGAGCTGAGAGCTCCTCCAGCAGCCCAGGGTTCCTGCCGCCGGTTCTCCCAAAGCCCTGGTGCGGCCTGGGAAGGAAGGCTTAGCAGCAGGGAGGCGGGGCGCACACCTGGCTGGCCCTGAGAGCTTCTCCCTGTCACTGGAACAGAGGGCCCCCCAGCCGAGGAGCCCGGCCCAGGTCTCCACACCCTCACCACAACCTTACCGCACAGGACTCAGCTCAAACCGCAACCCCCCTCCTGCCCACGCCCCGCCACCCCCCGCCCCCGCGTGCGTGCTCTAGGGCCTGGAGAGTTGCAGAGGCAAGGCCTCCGGAGGGGCCCCCTGCACCCCATACCGACCCTGCTGCCACCCCTCCCTCCCCAGGCCATGCTGGCTGGAGTCTCCGTCTTCATTTACGAGAAACGGGGTGGCATCCTCTGGGTGAGTTCATGGAAGGGCAGAAGCTGAGGGGCCGCGCCAAACCCCCCCCCCCGCCCCGTTGCCCACCTTCCCCCCCAAGCCCTGGGCTGGGCTCCAGGAGAGACTGAATCCCGAGGTCTGTCCGTCTCTTCTTCACCGCAGGCCCTGCTGAAGACCCTGCTGGCCCTGGCAGCTTTCGGCACCGCCATTGGCGCCACCTACACCGGGGCATATTATTTCGTGGACGGAAGATATCTGTTCTTCAATTTGTGCAGACCCCGCAACACCTGGCTGCCCACCGCGGCCCCCACCACCCCTGAGAGCGACCACAGGTGGCGCCTGTGCCAGTCCTACATGGGCATGTTCCAGGTAGGTGGGCAAGGGAGCGGGCAGCGCGGGCGGTGGGCAACGCGGAGGCTGCCCGTCGGAAAGAGGGTCACCTGTTCTGCACCATGCTTGACTACTGTCACCGCAGACGGTGGCGTTGAACAGACAGAAACAGTTCCTGCAGTTGTGGGGGCCCCACAGACATTGAGATAATGACAAGCGAATCCCTATTGTCAGTGTGCGCGGGGTACACCTCCCTGGGCCCTCTCAATCCCTATCGTCCGTGTGGGACGGCTGGGAAACCAAGTCACAGCCCAGGCCCGTCCCTGTGCAGATGAGGGCGCTGAGGCCCGAGGAGAGGGGTGCCGGGCTGCCTTCTTCGCACACGAGACCGGTGGGCCCCCACGCAGCGCTCCTTCCGCAGCCCCTCCAGCAGCACAGACTTGGGGGAAGGGGGGAGGGCGGCTGCGTGCTGCTGAGGAGGCTGGGGACAGAGCCCATCGTCGGGCCACCGTCAGCCGGCCACCTGCAGCTTTGCTCCTCTGTCCCCAGGCCCTGATCACAGGCCTTCAGACCATACTGTTGAGCATCTGGGTTCTGCTGATTCTCACATCTCTGGTCCCCCCGATGCTGTTCTGCTGGAGAAAATGCCGACCCAAGGCGGTGAGTCCCCCACGCACGTGTTTGGGCGTTTGCAGGCGGCTGGCTGCGCGGCTGGGAGACAGGGATGGAGAACAGGGGCCTGGGCAGGAGAGGAGGCCTCGTGACTGCGAATCCCAAGGCACATCGTGCCCGTCTTTCTACCCCAGGGGTCACCCAGCCCAGAGAGCCCCTGCCCCTGACCCCCTGGCCACCAAGCCAAAGACCTCGGGCAGCCAGGGAAGTCCGTCCCCACACCAGGCCCTTGGGGCTGTTTGCAGGAGGTACCACGAGGGTGATGTTGGATCTGGGTCGCTCCAGAGCTAAGCCGCCGTGGAGGAGAGAATCTGTGCTCACCTCCCCCTCCTCCCTTAGGAAAAAGACCAGAAGGCACTGCTGGGAACCAGTGAAATGTAGCCCTGCCTCTCCTGAGTGCTCGCACCTGGAGCTCCTTCTGCACCGGGCGTCTGCACCAGGCCCGGGACATGCAACCCCGCAGCGGCCCCAGTTGTCCTCGGCCACAACCCTGCCCCACCAGCTATCACAGCGCCTCTGGCCCATTCCCTGCACACCCTCACCACCCTGCCCCGCTTCCTGTCCCCTCTGAGCAGTCATGATAATAAACTCTCAAGTTGTGCCTCCCAGCTTCTCGCATAGTCGCGCTTCCTCGTTGCCCTGGCCGCAGGGGTCGTGGGACATGAACGGAGAGCGAGCCCACTCCCAGCCTCCTCTCTGTGTCGAGAGTTGCTGGCCCACTGTGGTTTTGTAAAATGTACCCATGTACAGTTTACAAGAGAGACCTCTAAGGCAAGGACACAGAAAGATCGAGAGTAAGAGGATAGGCAATACATAGCAGTTAAATTGGTACAGCTCTATTACAGTCAGACTTGAAGGCAAAGAGCATTCTTAGAGATAAGGAGGCCAGGTGTGGTCAGTCTTGTGCCATTTTCTCCTTCCTTTTCCCAATTCGTTCGTTCCTTCCTGGGACCGGGACCCCATACCTCCAGCTAGAGGGGACAGCTCGTGGCCAGGAGGATATGCAAGAGCCACAAGCTGGAGATGGTGCCAGAGCAGCCCTGGATGGCTTCCCTTTGAACATCTTTAGATGAGAAAAATAAACCCCTGGCTGATTTTTTGAAAAGAAAAATCAAACCAGTGACAATAGCAACAGAACTGTAGGAATGTCGTTAACTAGGAATAAACCGAGACATCCAAGACATTAATAAAACCGTAGACATTACTGAAAAATGTGTGTGCATACCTAAATAAATGGAAATACAGACGCTTGTCCATAGAAGGGGGGCTCGGTTTGGTAAGGGTATCTCCCTCCAAACTGATGCCTAAATCCAATGTGATTCCCGTCAAAATCTCCACAGGGTTTTCTTAATGCTTCATTAGCCAATTCTCAGATGGATACAGAGTCGAAAGACCAAGAACGGCAAAGACAGTGTCACTGTCCCTTGAAACCTGAAAAATGGATTGGACAAGGCAGGCGTTCAGACCAGGAAGTGCCCAGTGGGCCGAGCTGTACCGGAAACAGCAGGGAGGAGGGGCAAGAACCGAACTCGCGGCCAGAAGACCCGAGCACAGGCCTCAGCCCCCTGGCTTCCCAGCCCATCAGCATGGCCTCAGTTATAAACACCTCCAGAACAATAGTCTTTTCCCCTGGGAAATGGGGACAGTCACATCCAAAACCCAGGGCTAATGTCAGACCCTTCACAGTAAAAAAAAAAAAAAAAAAAAATTAGTCAATCAAGTGTGGCTTACTGATGATGGAATCTGGGAGAAGAGAAAGTGCTCACCAGTCCCCACATCCTCTCTGCTCCTTCCCTCAAATGGCATAAGACAGAGTCCCCAGATGCACCCTGCCTTCCCGCAGGGCGAGAGCATGGGGCACACCCAGCACCACAGACGAGTATTGTCCCCAGTTTTCTTTCTCCCTTGACTCCTTGTCATGGGTCCCCCAGACGTGAACTGGGCACATCACTTCTCAGCAGGCAGACTGCATCTCCCAGCCTCTCCTGCAGCCAAGTATGACCAGGAGACGTAACTCCAGGCAACGAGGCGCAAGAGGGAGCAGCGTGCACACCACCTGGGCAGCGCCCTGTAAGGGAGGGGCTGTCTCCGTACCACAGTGCTCTCTCTTACGAGGCTCGGAAGGCAGGCGAGACGGCTGGACAAGCTGCCTCGGACAGTGAGGTGATGTGGGAATGGAGTCCCTTCATCAGAGAATAACAGGACAGAAGAAGCGCGACCCATGGCATAACATGCTAATCCGGGGTGGTCTGCCCAGATGGCCTTCGTTCGTTTGTTTTTATTTTTCAGTTACAGTTGACATTCAATATTCTTTTATATTTATTTCAGGTGTACAGCAAAGTGGTTAGGCAATTACATCATTTGAAAAGTGATCCCTCCTGATAATTCTAGCACCCACCCAGCACACAACACGCAGCTATTACAATATTATTGGCTCTATTCCCTGTGCTGTACTTCACATCCCTGTGACTATTCTGTAACTGCCAGTTTGTACTCAATCCCTTCATGTTTTTCACCCAACTTCCCCCACCCTCTCCTCTCCGGCAACCAGCAGTCCGATCCCTGTATCTATGAATCTGCTTCTGTTTTTGTTTGTTCGACTGTTTTGTTCTTTAGATTTCACATATAAGTAAAATCACGTGGTATTTGTTTCTCTGTGTGACGTATTTCACTTAGCATAACACCCTCTAGATACATCCATGTTCTCCAAAGAGTAACATTTCATTCTTTTTTATGGCCCAGTAATATTCCATTGTATATGTGCGCCACCTCTTCTTTATCCACTCATCTACTTGTGGGCACTGGGGTTGCATCTACATCTTGGCTACTGTAAATAATGCTGAAATGAACAGAGGAGGGCATGTATCTTTTTGAATTACTCTTTTGGATTTCTTTGGCTCTATTTCCAGAAGTGGGATTGCTGGATCATAAGGTAGTTCTGTTTTGAATTTTTTGAGGAAACTCCATACTGTTTCCCACAGTGGTTGCACCAGTTTGCCCTCCCACCAACGCACGTAAGGGCTCCCTTTTCCCTGCGTCCTCAGCAGCACTCGTTCGTCGATGACGGTCTTTCTGACAGGCGTGAGGCGCTATGTCATTGTGGTTTTAATTTGCATCTCTCTGATGATTAGTGAGAGCGAGCATTTTCCATATGTTTGTTGGCCACCTGTGTGTCATCTTTAGAGAGGTGTCTACTCAGCTCTTCTTCCCATGTTTTAACTGGATTGTTCTGGAGGGGTTGGTGTTGAGTTGTATGAGTTCTTTATAAATTTTGGATATTAACCCTTTATCAGATGTATTACTGGTTACTATCGTCTCTCATTCTGTAGGTTGTCTTTTTATTTTGTTGGTGTTTTCTTTTGCTGTGCAAAAACGTTTCAGTTTCCTAGAGTCCTGTTTGTTTATTTTTACTTTAGTTCCCTTACCCAAGGAGATATATTAAAAATAAATATATATATTGCTAAGAGATGTGAGGGGCTACATTGCCTGTTTTATTTTAGGAGTTTGATGGTTTCCAGTCCTACGTTTTTAAGTCTTTAATCCATTTTGAGTTTATTCTTGTGTGTGGTGGAAGAAGGTGGTCTAGTTTCATTTTTTTGCATGTATCTGTTCAATTTTCCCAACACCATTTACTGAATAGACTGTCTTTACCCCGTTGTATATTCTTATATTTTTTAATCCCCTGCCATAGATTAATTGACCATATAGGCATGAGTCTATTTCTGAGCTCTCTATTCTGTTCCATTGATCTGTGTGTCTGTTCTTGTGCCAGTGCCATGCTGTTTGATTACTATAGCCATGCAGTATAGTTTGATAGCACGTGGCACAGTATCTCCAACTTTGTTCATCTTTCTCAAGATTACTGTGGCTATTTGGGGTCCCTGTGGTTCCACATAAATTTTAGGGTTACTTGTTTTAGTTCTGTGAAAAATATCATTGGCATTTGATAGGAATTGCACTGAATCTACAGATCGCTTCAGGGAGTATGGGCATTTGAACAATGTTAATTCGTCCTGCGCGGAAGTTTCAGGGTACGGCTGCCACCTGCCTGGGGTCTGCAGACCTTTGCAGTGCGGTGGGGTGGGGTGGGGTCTCACAAGGTCCTCGGGGCGGAGCCAGAAGAGTTCACTAAGCTAACACAGGTTCAAATTTGGCCCTGCAGGGGGAGGACTCAACACAGGGACAATGGTGGCCATCTCTCCAGCCGTCACCCTGAATCCGCACAACTCAGTTTCTCCCTGCACGTTTCTCCCTCAGCCACTGTCCCTCCGCTGGAGCCCAAGGCGAGTGCCTGTGAGTGGGTCTGTGCGCGGGCCATTTAAGAGGACGCCTAGGTTTCCAACAGCCTTCCCTCTCACGTGGCATCCCCGCTGACGTTCGCAGCCAAGTGTTATGCAAGCGCCTCTTCCCAGCACTGGTGTTCCAGGCTACGGGCCCCGGGGGGGAGGCTGAGACCCCTCGCTCCTCAGGGGGGCTTCTGCAGCTGAGATATCCCCCGTACTCATTCTCAACCACCACATGTGGGCGTGGGTTCAGCCCCTTTGAACCTCTGCCCTTCCTACCCGTCTCCAATGGCATCTCCATTATATCTTCAGATGTAGGACCTCCGTTCAGCGAGACTGCAGGTGGGTATCCAGCTGATCATTCTATAATTTAGTCATAACGTTGGCGTGTCCATGAGAGGAGGTGAGTAGAGCCTGGATGTTTATGTGAGAAAGAAACTGGGGTTATTTTACATATTCTGCCACAGCCAGACATCACTGGAAGTAATAAGATTTCACCTCAAAAATAATGAGAGCTAAGTCTGTCCAGTCAGTATCTTATGGATAGAATCCATCACTTCAAGAGGGGGCATCCCAGCGCAGACGCTAGAAAGCACAACCTGATTGTAGCCGAGGCAAACCTGGTTCTATATCTTTAAAGAAGGAGCGCTGTTTGGGCGACGTGGAGAAAGTAGAATCAGAGGAGAAAAACTGGGGTGTGACCAACCAGCGCCGAGCAAGGGGAGAGACGGCCAAGCTCTTGTTTCACTTGAATTATCTGGACCCTGTGCGTGTCCCCTCCGTACCGTATCCCCACGGGGACACGCTGAGGACACCCCTGTCTCCTGCCCCCGAAGTGTTCTGCTTTGGCCCAGTCCAGTCCGGAGCGTCACAGGACCCCCTGGCCATGTTGCTTCTGGCCCGCAATACAGCCTTGCCTGCCGCCCCGAATACGGGGCGCTCACAGTCCCCTCGGCGTGCGGACCGCCCGCAGGAGGGGTGCCTACAACGCGCAAGGAAGCGGGACCCAGCGCGTGACGCCGGCGCAGCAATGCCAGCCTGACCCCTCCCGGCGTGCCTCGCTTTGCACGCACCCCTCGGTTCTTCAGAGCCAAGAACTGTGCTACGCCTGCGTATCTCCAAACTGAGAAGTGGGGAGGTGAAAAACGGGGAAGGCGGCCGGCAGTTCCCAGGGCAGGGCCCAGCGGGGAGGCCAGAGAGGCCCCTGCCGAGAACCGCTCAGAGGGCGGGGCCCACCGCTCTTCTTAACCTAGATGGCGGACTCAGCGCTATTATTATTGAAACTGCACATACACATTTTATACCACCTTCTGTATGAACGATATAATCACAGTAACAAATACACATTAGGCCCTGGCTGGTGTGGCTCAGTGCATTGGGCGCCGGCCTGAGAACCAAAGGGTCGCCGGGGAGATTCCCGGTCAGGGCACAGGCCTGGGTTGCGGGCCAGGTCCTCAGTGGGGGGCACACCAGAGGCAACCACACATTGATGTTTCCCTCTCTTTCTCCCTCCCTTCCTCTCTCTCTAAAAATAAATAAATAAACACACATCTGGACTTCCTATTCTTGAGTTAACTTCAAAGGTATAAAAACAATGTCTCATGCAAAAGCTACTCATTATATCAATTAGCGTGAAAATCATCAGTGACCATCAAATGGACCTTTTGGCTTCGGGATGCGCAACCTGGAAAAGGGTCCGGACCCCGAAAGGCCAATGGGAGGCAGCCTGGCCGTGGCGGTCAGAGTACAGCTAATTATGGTCCCCCGGAAACCCTCCCTCTGTTGAGATCCAAGCAGAAAACAGGTGGCTCAAAGTGGGTAAAAGGACTATTTACTAACACAGCAGCAAAGGGTAAGGAAAACTGTAAGTGACACAATGTCATACCAGGGCTGGTGACC